CTATCGTCATCCATGTTTTCTTTCTTGTCCTCTTCAAAACCTAAACCCATAAAGAAAACATAATCAACTTTCAAATATTAAAAATGTCATTACATATGTAAAACTATACATTACCTTGTCCTTTGCTTCATTATCAACATCCATAAAATCATCATCGCTAAGATTATACACATGTACAGTTCGACAGTAACCAATTGGTGGAATACCTTATATATTCTTCATGAATGAGTATTCTAAATTCAGTGCATTATAAAAGAATGACAATCTGTGAGAATAAAATCAGTTGAGAATGATATTTTGTATATTGTTTAACACACCCACATAGATTATACAAAGCCATTGCGTAATTTTTTTTAAAGAAAATAAAAAGGATTAACCAATGGCAAAATGAACAAAAAAGAAACCTTACATGCATAATCCATTTAAATTCGTTTAAAGTAATTAACAAAGAAATCTATAAATATAGGGAAAAACATGCGATGACAAAGAGATGAGACATGGTCTTTGATTTAAGTTGACTAATTCTTTATACAAACCTATACCTAATGATTATAGTTTCAAAATCTAATTTTACTATAAGCTATTATACTTTTTGGTATTCTCTTTATTAAAAAAAAGATGAAGAACACAAACACATAATTCAAAACAAATCGATCTTAAGGTTCAATATCTAATACCTAATTGATAGAACTCATAATTAAGATTAACAAACATCATTTAAATAAGAAAGCCTCGTGATGTTTATTAGCTCAAGATTGAAATTTAAAAAATGCGAAATTCAAGAAAAAAAAACAACAATTTCTTATAGCTCAAGATTAAATTCATAAGAAATCAATTTCCAATCGTTCCAATTCTATGTTTCGATTTAAAAAGCCCATGAGTTCTCTCGAGTACATGCTCAATTCCAAATGATGCCCAATTATTTTTAGTGGGTAATTAAGTCCCAATTTTCAAAACCAATAATACATAGAAATTAGAAAAATACATTTGATTCAAAAATGGGGATGAGACATGTCCCCTATGTGGCTATGTGCACCTAATGACCCAAATCGATACAATATATATATATATATATATATATATATATATATATATATATATATATATATATATATAAACATTCAATCAGTAATATAATTAAGAACACCCAAAAGTTAAACCAAGCAAAAAGTAATTTCTAATGATAAAAAGTGAATAGTCAACTAAACCTGAAATAGTGCGCCTTCGTTCCACTTTTGACTTCTTAGGGCATGGTTGCCCTTTGAGGAAAATGGCGACCAACAATACTTGAGGGATGCAAATGACGAACAATCGACCATTTTAGGAGACATGGTTGTACACTATCACTTGAGCAGATGAATGCAAACAGGAGGTACGTAGGCGGATGGCATAAAACAGGCGAAAAACGGATCGTCGCCTGAAATCGATACAGAAAAACGGGGAAGAAGGAACGATGCAGACGAGATGGTGGTTGAATTCGATGGTGGTCGGCGGCTGAAAAATTGGTAGGGTTTTAAACTAAATTCTCTAATTTAAAAGGGGATATTAAGGGTGCGTTTAGTTGCGGAAAAATTGGCCGTTTTCCGGAAAAATTTTCCAAGAAAAATGGGAATTTTGAAAACGCATTTAGTTTTTCTATTTTTCTAAATTTTTCACGGAAAATGAAAATTTTTCGTTTTCTAAAATTACAAAGAAGTTTGAAATTTTTGGAAAACCAATAATCATTGTTTTCTATATTTTTCTAATTCCAAATTTTTTCTAAAATATAAACACACCCCACTCCCATCCAACTCACCTCTACCTACCCCCACCTTAACATGTCCAACCCACCACACCCCTACCTACCCACTCACAAGCCCACCCTCACAAACACACACACACCACAAATATACACCCCTACCCACACCCACACCCACCCCCCCACCCCCACAAAAAACACACACATACCCACAAACACCCCCACACCTAGCCCCAACCCCACAAACACACATACACACACAACCCACACAAACCCACCCCACCCCCACCCCTACCCCCCACCCTTACACCCCTACACACACAACCCACACACAAACCCTTACACCCCCCCCACCCACCCCACAAAAACACACACACACCCCACCCGAACAGCCGAACCTATCTCATACCTACCCACCCCACCCCTACCTACTCCAAAGATATGAATTAATGCATTAAACTTAGCCCAAAACATCATATGAATAACATTAAAATAAAATGCACCATGAAATGATTTGGTAACCATGGATGATCAATCTCATATCGATTTGAGGTAGGGTGAAGTTGGGTGGCATAGGGTGGGGTAGGGGTTGGTGGGGTGGGGTAGTGTGGGATGAGGTAGGGTAGGGTGGGGTGGGGTGGAATGTGAGTGGTGTTGCGGGTTTGTGTGATGTTAGTTAAAATAACAAAAATTGGAAAATGAAAACTCATAGAAAAATGCACATCTAAACGCGTTTTATAATTTTCTAAAACAGAAAATGAAAAATGAATAAGATTTAACTAAACGCGTTTTCTAAATTTTCCAATGAAAATTGAAAACGGAAATCGAAAACTAAAAACGGAAAACCGAAAACAGAAAATGAAAACTGTTTTTCCACAACTAAACGCAACCTAAATGTTTCGAATATTTACTAAAATTAAAAATAGTAAGATTACTATTATACCCTATAAACAATTTATTAATTATTTTATATTTTGTAAATTTTGATTGGTCTACAATTAATCCTACATCCACACAAAAGATAATTAGAATACATAAACTCATCTCTCTCTCTTTCTCTCTCTCTCTCTCTCTCTATATATATATATATATATATAATATATATATATAATATATATATATATATATATATATATATAAGAAGGAAATTTTTGGTAGGAAGGTAAGAAATTTTTTTTCTACATATTTTTTTCGCGAACAAACAAAATGAATCATTAGATGATTCATTTGTAAGATGATTCACAAGAAAAAATTCTCAAAAAACATCTCGATGATTCATTTATACAATGATTTTGTTGTTATTCACTAAAATTGTCATAAAAATGAATTTTTTCTTAATTTACTTAAAAATGAATCATAAAGATGTTTTTTTGGGAATTTTTTCTTGTGAATCATCTTACAAATGAATCATCTAGTGATTCATTTATTTTGTTCGTCAAAAAAATATGTAGAAAAAAAACTTCTTACCTTCCTACCAAAAAAAATTTTCTTACCGGATCTATATATATATATAATATATATTAATGATTATTTCAAATATCTCACACGAACGATATTTCATCATCCTAGACAATTTGCAAATCATCCTAAATGGTTTTGTCGGTGGTTGGATGATATTTGTATTGAAGAAATTGTTCTAGACTATTAGGTTAGAGCGTGTTCGGCACGGAGCGTTTGAGAGCTTCTAGCTTCTAGCGTTTCCGTTTTGAACATAAAGTCTCGTTTGACACTACAAGCTTCTAGCGTTTAGTTTAATCAAAATGCTCCAAGTCCAAATGCTACTTCATGTAGCGTTTCACAAAACGCTACAAGCTACAAGCTACCCGCTACAAGTTACCCGGTACCAGCTAGTTTTGTCGAACACGCCCTTAGTCTTCTCACATGTTTTAAAACATTTACGATTTGGAATTATCATATAAGATTTAGTATCGTCCTAGACAGATTTTATGTAAACTAGACAAGGATTATTGGTAACTGCGGCTAGTTTTACATCAGTTTTAAAGGTTCTAGACATATGGGAATCAATAAAGAGTATTGTTCTATCATACATTCACCATATTAAATCATTTGTTTATAAATCATAATCTACTAATATAACATGTCCATAAAGAACTCAACCATGATCAAGCTACATTGAAGAGATGTAAGAATTTATTCCAGAGTACTTCCGGCGAGGTTATTGTGATGTTAGATTAACATGGTGTGATCGTTACTTCGATTCCACGCAAGATTGTGAGTATTTTAGTCTTAACATTTTAAATAATATGGGTAATATTTGTAGACTTTTTTGTGCTTGCTTAAATTTGTTACTTTATTTTTAAGACATTGTATTACCAAACCATTATTCATTATAGCTCGTTTAGTTTAGGAGCTGAGACTCGTAATCAACATAGGATGCCCAAGATGTGGTAGTATCTTATGACATTATGTTATTTGTAAATTCCCACACTTAAAGACTAACACAAATAATTGTATAAACACATCAAAAACTGACACAAAAAATTGTATTTTGTAGACTAAAGATTAACAAAAATAATTGTATTCACACATAAGGTGCCTAAGATCGAATAATTGAACGTTAATAACTATAATCATGTTCATACGTCTATTTCGAAGTCTAAAGGAGATATTTTTGTAAATCTAATTTTTTTTGATAAGTTTGAAATGGTCTTGTCTTCACATTTATTACTTATAACAGTATTTTAGCACTGTTCTAACAGTGCCACAATTTTATCGAACAATATTTCAATGTTTTTATTGTAAGTTTTGAACAATTTATTAAGTAGCATGTATTGGAGAACTTCTTTGGCAAGTTATGACTCTTTTGGCATATTTTATTGAACAAAATTTTGATAAATTTAGTCTAATGGATTTGATTCAAATGGGCCTAAAAAAGCCAAAACATAAAACCAAAGTTGGCAACGGTTCAGTTTGTTCAGTTTTAGTTATCAACGATCCAGCTTGAATTTTCGATTAACAAAAACCGTTACTAACGGTTCGGTTTCGATTTAACCTAAAACCGCAAAAATCAGACCATAAACACCCCTGGTTATAAGAGTTGTGCAATAAGATTTTGTGTTTAAATAGTCATAAATTTGTCACTACAAAATTGCTTTAATTTCTCATATTCATGTATAGATATACAAAAGAATCCGGTATAGAACAACATTTCAACAAAATAATATACAAAAAAAAAATGAATGAATTAAATCACAAATAAGCACAAACAAGGCCTTCTTCATCACCATCATCATCATCATCATCATAATCTCGGTTGTTCTTTAGAGTGTCTGTAGAGATCATACGGCGACCATAGCTCATCGACCGGACATGGCTCACAGGCGTCCAGTCTCACCCACGGCTTCCCTTTCCCACTCCAATGCAACAAACTAATCGGACCTGGATGCAAAGACCTGCAACTATGAACCCTATTGTTCCCACCGAGCCCATGTTGGTTCCATCTATGATCAATCGCCGCCACGTCGCCGCCAAACACCAACAAAAATGGCGGAAGCGAACCCAAATCGTAGATCCGCTCCTCCTTTTGAATCTCCATCCATCTCTCAATTCTACTCCGGTAATCTTCTCGTCTCCACTTCGCCAAATCCATCACCATTACACCTGTGTTGAAGTAACACGGTTTCTTCCCGTCGAACACTCTCGACAACCGTGAATCGGACCAAAACCGATCGGTGAAATACTTGGTGAAATTCGCGTGACAGTACACCGGGGCTCCGATTGCCGTCGATCCTAATGAAAACGACCAAAGCTTCTGTATATCGTCAACCACGATGATATCAGAATCGAGATAAATCACTCGGGTCACACTCGAATCGAGTATTTCAGCTAAATAAGTCCTAGCGTAATTCAAAGGATCTTCAAGCGCTTCGCGAACCGAATACGAAATCAGATTCTTAACAACGCGATCATCGAAGCTGTAAACCCTAAAATCGAGAGACGGAAATATCGTTTTAATGATCCGGGATAAGTCATCGGGTTTGGGGGTTTTTGATTCGGATGCAATGAAGTGGAAGTAGAGATTTTCAGGACATGAAGTATGCTTAAGAATCGAATGAACAGCAGCTATGGAACCTCGCAAGTATTCAAAATCGAGAGTCATGGCGACATGAACAACAAAAGGTCCATACGCTGTGGCGGTTGTACCTAACACTCCACAATGATCACCATTTCTATACTCAGGTGCTTCAAGGTATTGTACGTTGTCACTTCCATAAACTCCGATATCCGAAGCATACTCTTTGATGGGTGTTTCTAATTCAGGAATCGATCTTATCGCATTTGTGCAGAGAAAAAACAGAGCAACAATCAACACGAAAACAGCTTGAAATCGAAGCATATCAGCATTCACAGAAGCTTTTCCGATCATTAGCAATGGTCGAATTCAGATGAATTTGTGTCTGAATTTGTGGGTTTGTGTTGTCTTGAAAAGTTGCTAGAAGATGAAGAAGGTCTGTGTGTATATATATTCAGAGTAGGAAGAAACGCGTTTTGTTTTGAACGCGGAAGGATGTGGAACGAAAATTGTGGAAGAATTGGAGGGGTGATATTGGAAAGATGGAAAAGAAAAGGGATGAAATTTGGAAATTGGTTTGAATTGAAAATTCAAAGGTGGAAGGTTCGAGGAGTGTGACAACAATTTTGGTCGATTGTATCATTGATTTCCATGTTACCACGTGCCTTGTTCTGTTGTTCACATTGATTGATATTCCATCATCAAAATTAAAATGTTTGAATGTGTATTTTAAGTTTTTGAAAATATTTTAAAATGAAATATTTTTATTAGTTGTTTCTATAATGAATTTTCATCATAAAAAAGTTGTTTTTTGAAAGGTTAAATCTACACATATGTAGATTGAAAAAATGTTAAAAATGAAACTGATAAAGACTCGAATTATATGATGAAGAATATTGATGTGCCAATCTGGCTTATGTATGAAAGTTTTTGACAGCTGATTTTAAAAACTTCTAACCTTTGGTTTTTAATAAAGACTTCAAACTAAACAAATGGTGGGTATCCTATAGGTTTTGTGGTGATGAGGTAACACTCATCACTATAATGGTTAGTAGTGGATATTAGCGATGATTTAAATAGTGTTTGTGAACCAAATTTTATGTATAGCTTATAGATTTATATTAGAATAATATTTGGTATAAATACTGATAACCTTATTATTCTACTCAGTTAATCTATATAATCTGTAGTTGGTAATTGTGAGTTTTATAAAGTTGATACCACCTAAAAACAATGATAAGTGAAAGGGGCTATGTTTTCTTTCAATATCTTTAGCTAATAAATATGTTTAAAGCTATTAATATAACTATATAAGATCATAATCAATGAAATAAAATTGTTTTTAATAGTGTTGGTAACAAGCATTTATTCTCTCATATTCAAATGGGGACTCGTGAATAATAAATATAATAAAATCAGGGTGTTTCCACTTTATACTATATTCATCGACGTCTTTCTATGCATTTTTAAATATATATACAAAAACGAAATCAAAATTAGAATTCAGTTTTAATAATTAGGTTCATTGCATCTAAGTCAAGTTTACCGTATTTTACCAACTCACATGGTCTGTTATTTACGGTTTCTTGGTTTCAAATTGACTCCTACCAAGATACTTGATTCCTTCACCTTTTCAATTTTCATATTCCACTTTTATAATCATAATTTTACTAATTTTTTTTTACTTCAATAATCATAATGTTTTTTACAGCTAAACTTACAAAATAGTAAATCACAAATTTGGTCCCTATGTTTTATTAACTAATTCATCGAAATTCAAGATCATCCCATTGTTGCCCAACTTGCAACTTTTTTGTGGAAACTGTTACTGTCTCACATAAAATGACTTTAAAAGTTATTTTAAGTTGCAATTGTGAGTAAAAACATTGGGATAATGTCCCACATAAAATGATTTTAAAAGTTATTTTAAGTTGCAATTGTGAGTAAAAACATTGGGATAATGTCCCACATAAAATGATTTTAAAAGTTATTTTAAGTTGTAATTGTGAGTAAAAACATGGGGATAATGTCCCACATAAAATGACTTTAAAAATTGTTTTAAGTTGCAATTGTGAGTAAAAATATGGGGATAATGTCCGTAATGAAACTCAAACTTAAGGACAACTTGAAATAATTTAAAGTTTTGGATTAAACTTACAATTTGTGTTTTACCACAAGAACAATCTTAAATGATAGTATTACATTCAAACCAATAAATTTGTTTCTTATAAAAGATGATGTGACTCATAATCGGAACAACAAACGACAATACATGTTGATCAAACGCGTTGTGTAATCAACAATATTTTGACAAGCGATGCGTAGTCTTAACATATTTTTCATTTAATAAAAGTTAAATTGTTCATCAATAAAAAATATGTTTTACATTTTCATAAAATCTCATTGATTAAATAATAATATTTTGATTTTTGGACTAAATATAAATAGTAATGAGTCGAAACTAATACCTCTAAGGAGTTTTTCTTTTTCTCTTAGTGAATTTAGTTAGTTAAAACACTTACTCTATACAACCATATATAATTGTTTTTTTTATAACTTAATTGGCACAAAATATTTAATGGTTCAAAAAAATCGGTTTATTGTATTTCTTACTTGTCAAAATTTCTTTCTCTAAGGTTTTAACATTAAAATTGATGAATATAGTTAAAAATATTATTAAAATGTTAGGCTAAATTGGTTATTTAGTTTTATTTATGAAAAACAAATTTACATGTACATTAAGACCCAGAGGCCGGGAAAAACCAAGATGTGCATACTTTTTTTCTAGAAAGTTACTAAGCGTTTTCTCGCTGAAATGAAGCTTGTAGACTACAGAAACAAATATCAAGTTTACTTGAAGTGGAGGAACGTCAACAAAGTTGTCATGGAGTTAAAAGCAATATTTTTTTTAGTATGAAGCGGTAATAGCAAAGTGGTGCAAATGATGAAACAATCTTGCAAAAGGTCTTAGCACTTTATCAGAGTGATAAGGGGAACTCTTTCAAATTTCTTCATGTTTGGAATGTTGTGAAGATGTCAAAAAAATGGCAAGATATCCAAACTTCGGAATCATTCACGGGTGGTTCTTTTAAAAGAAGCAAAACATCTGAAACCACTCATAGCCAATCGTCGGATGTGCGTGTCGAGATTGACCTCAACGACAATCAGTCATTGAGGTTCCAAGAGCAAGTCGCCACATGGGAAGAGACCAAGCTAAGTAGAAGGGTAAAGGGACCGCAAGTTGTTCGAGTGACATCGAGCAAATGACAAGCAAAATGGACAACTTGAAGGCTACTTTGGAGCAATACTTGAATGTCGCAAATGAGAAGGAAAAATCTTGTAATATGGTGACCTTAATGAAAAATACTAGTAACCTTACCGGACGCAAAAGAGAATTGACGTTAAAGACCAAAGAGGAGATTGCAAATATATATATATATATATATATATATATATATATATATATATATATATATATATATATTTCATATTTTAATTTTTTTGGATTTCTAATTTTAATATCTATGTTTTGTATTTTTAAATTCTACATTGTTTTTTTGTGTGTTGTAATTTCTTTTCAAGTTTAATGAAATTTATTTTTTATAAAAATAATTTGTTTAAATTGATTATTTTTTATATAAATTAAATTTAGAAAAAAAAGGAAAAATGACTCTTGAGGGTAATTAACTTTTGCGTTTGTACTCATTTGGTTCCTTTCCTTTTTTTGTATTCAATATACCATCGAACTTATTGTTTGTGTTCACCATAACCCTTTTGACCGGCTTTTGACCTGTGATAGCCGGTCAAAGGGTTATGGTGAACACAAACAACAAGTTCGATGGTATATTGAGTACAAAAATAAGGAAAGGGACCAAATGAGAACAAATGCAACAGTTGGTTACCCTCCTGATTCATTTTCCCTTTACTCATTTACAACAAATCCCACGTCATCTCCTACTGATATTAATGACTTTATGAGATTCATTCTTGCTTCTCTTCAAAACATAACCCATGAAAGAACATTATTTATACATGTACAACTTTGTAATGCACTTGAATATTTATTAGGGGAATCTTGACTAAGCAGACACATTTCATGACTACATTTACATTTCCAATCAAATGATTTATCGTATCATGGATTCTAGACAAGTCTACAAACGAGTGGAATCACAAAATGCTGTGATTTTTTAGTTTACTTAGCTTTAAGATTGAATTCATTGGATAAGATACAACATCAATATGTACAATATCATGTTGCTTTTGTAGACACATCACCATAATATACCTTGAGGTAAACGTTTATGCTGATAAATATACCTCTCATACACAATCATGTCCTTTTGCAGAGAGGTGTTGACAGCTAACTACAGTAAGCATAACATAGACCATTTTTTAACGAGGTTACCCCTTTGAAATGCTCTTCATATAGTTATAGCCAAAGAATGTTGCAGTCTTTGATAATTTTGCAACTTTAATTTCATTTAACTTTTCGGGGAAAATGACTCAGGAGGGTAACCAACTGTTGAGTTCGTTTTTATTTGGTCTCTTTCCTTTTTTTGTACTCAATATATCATCGAACTTGTTGTTTGTGTTCAACATAACCTTTTGACCTGCTATCACAGGTCAAAAGCCGGTCAAAAGGGTTATGGTGAATGCAAACAACAAGTTCGATGGTATATTGAATACAAAAAAAAGGAAAGGGACCAAATGAGTACAAACGCAAAAGTTAATTACCCTCAATAGTCATTTTTCCAAAAAATAACATGGAAAAAGTGGTAACTCCCGCCCTCTAAATGACAAACTTTTGAAACAGTGTGACAAATCCAATTTAACGCCTACGTGATAACACTTTTAATGTAACAAACCTGACACCACACCTATAGCCAAATTGATGTTCCAAAGTCCAATCCATTGCAAATTAAAAGTCATGGGGAAACAAGAAATACAACATAACGCAAAGCCAAATTGATGTTCCAAAATCCAATCCAATGAAAACATCCGTGAGCATCAGTGAATCGAACCGATCCATAAGGCCATTACGCCCACTTGAGGCAATGTTCATGCATGGAAAGAGCATGCCACGTCGTCGGATTCTACACATAGAAACCCTTCCATACCATATAGCCTAACTAGATTTTTGTGTTGCACTATTCTTTTAATTAGAATAATTATAAGATTTTGAGTTTTTTAATGGTATGGAATTATAGAAGGGAAGGGCACATGTGACAACTGTGGCAGTCAGGGCAAGGAATATTTGAAGCCACCACCCATTTTTTTGTTTTTATTCATTTTTTTAATATTGCATGTGTCTAAATTTTAAATTCATAAACTAATTAAGTAAAAGTAAAAGT